TTCTACTGGAGTTTCGTAAACCAGAGGCTTTACATGTCCACAGAGGAAAAAATCTAGCAAAGTGAGTCGGCGCTCCATCATCCATCAAACAGTGTAAAAAATTTGATTGGGCAGCGATTTGATGAAGAAACCATTGACAAAATTGAACTCTAGGATGATAATCGGCTGCAGTCGATCCTTGAACTCTCTGGTAGTGGTAAGGATAAAGTTGTTTCTCGTGTAGCAAGCGCCAGATGGAAGCGTTACTCGTATTCATGTCCTCATCAATGTGACGTGTGCTACTTGATGGTTCGTCGGCAACTCGCTTCAAATTCGACCGTTCTTACGGTTAGAGCAACACCAGTATCATGCATGTTGGTTTTAAACATGCCTGTCTCGGAGAGCCGCCGATGAATAGCAATAAACTTTTTGTATCCCGGATACTGTCTTTCGGGATAACGTTCGTGATACAACCGCGCTGCTGCTCGTAAAATGCAGCTTGCTGCTCCGTATGCCAAATGCGTATCCGCCAATTCTTGATTGGTAAAGTTTTCCATTAGCAACAATTAATTTTTGTTAAATTCTTGCAAACTTCACAAATACGATAGCACGACTAAGGCGATATGGAATGCAGCTACAAAAAACAATCTCTATTATCGTTTTTAAAGATAACAACACACAAGCGCCCTACAAGTTTGATCACATAGTTCTGAAACACCCTGTATTATTAAGGATTTTGAAAATACATATACAGGCAAGATAATTTCAGAAGTGGACAGTTGATGAGGAATACTGCAAAGAGAGCTTTTCTTTTGGACAAAAAACAAATTAAAAGCAAATCTGGCTAGTTCAATAGCAGAATACTTTCCCTTCGATCTGTCTGTACGCTAGTCCTTGTTCGTCTACCATATCTTGGGTAGTCAATTTTCACAAAAAGTCACTATGTCAAGAATGAAAAATCTTTGTAGACAGCTCCTAATCATTTTCGGAAAAAAATTATAAGTTGGAGGATATAAGGGAGGTATATCTCAATTTTTTGTTGTATATTTAAACGCTCACAACCCTGGTAATTCTACGCACCTATTAGCCCTATTTCACACATCACAGATTTCCTTTAAAACTGTGTAATGTTATCAACACGCGCCTCCCTTTCTGCTCTCTGGGTTCACCAGCGGGCGTGCCGGTTTTGTTGATTGTTCTGTCAGTACTGCAGCGGTACGGCGGTGGGCGCTGCCACGCCTGACGCGTCGTGCCAGGGGGACAGTACTATCGGTAGGGGGGAAAGAATGTCTATGGACCAATTCTATGAGTCTGTTTAACTGACTTTTTCTCTGAGAGTTTAACTTGTGAGGAACTTAATCCATTATGAACTGATGACAGCCTACCTGACGCCATTTTTGTCTATTAAGTCAAAACTGTGCAGTTTTATAATTTCGTAACCTATATAAGTGTTTGCTGGAATGATTATAAAACATAAAAAGTGCAAAATCGAGCATAAGCATGCTATATCTTATCTACAGATATGCAGATGGGAAATTCAAGAATATATTAAAATAGTTAATTTCCGAACGCATACATATAATAAGAATCACTTGGGTAGTCCCAAAGTTTATTTTTAAACGCTTGATGGATTTTATGATATAACTTAAAAATCCCTGATAATATTATTTTAATAACAGCAATCATCAGTAGCGTAGTACAGGATGGCCAAGGTAACTGGGAAGTAAACTACAAAACCGGTCACTTTTAGGATCGCTTATTTTAGCACTTCCACATATCTAATTTCGCATTTAATTTGAACGGAAATATAGTCTTGACCTTGTTCTACATGATGCTCAAAACTTACAGCGATCTGATTATAGGACGCCGGTGCTAATGCACTTGGAATGACGTGGGAACACAAAACCAAAGTTGTAAAGATTTTAGCGTGAATTCGCCACATATAACGGCACTAAGCAACACTGAGGTTATCTTTGTTTGGGGAAGCTACAACTTGGTGCAGTTTGACGTTTCCAAAGCACAGTAGTACTGTAGATTGACTAACGGTTTTGATGGATGGCAGAACTTCTACAAGGACCCGTTCATTTCGGCTGGTCGTAGTCCAGATCACCGAGGTCTTGATCTGACTTGGACACATCTCGTCAATAGCGGCAACTACTGGGAAAAGATAGGCTATTTGATTAGGGCCAAGAAGTACTTTTCTCGACATAACAAGCCCTCATAAGACCTAGCCTCGAGTACTGCTCACATGTTTGGGGTGCTGCCGCCCTGACTACATTATCCACGCTCCATGTTGTCCAAAGAAGCGCTGTACGGCTGATCTATGGCTCTTTTCTAACGAACAGTATCCGGACCCTTTCGCACCGACGGGCCGTCAACAATCTAGCTATCTTCTACCGCTACGCCAACGGGTTTTGCTCCTCGGAACTTTCCTCGACGATGCCGGACAGACCCACCTGGCTTCGGCCTCCCATTCTAACCATGTCGAACTTCGTACATCCAGAACAGGCCGATACAACCGCTCCGTTGCACCTAGGGTATCGAGATTGTGGAACAGTCTACCTGAGGAGGTTTTTCTCAGTTCTACTAACCTTTCGTAGTTCAAAAATCGGATTAAGAAAGTTTCCTCAAGCGGCCGCGGTGCCCTAGTATTTAGGCTTCCGTCTGCAAGGCTGCTTAGGTGTAAAAAAAAACGTTCATACTTATTTTATGATGCACTAGCATGATACAGTTCCCACTAACAGATCATATTGTTAGAATACCATATGCGACAACTGGGCCCTCTCTGTACCCATTTTTCTCTTAATCTTTCATTTTGTGGGTGAAATCACGTTGCGGCCAATTGGGAATGTGTTCTACGTCAAAAGTAGAAATCGACTGATAGGTCTACAGGGTGTTCCTTAATGATATGCGATTATTTAATCTACATGAAAAATTAATGTTAGTTTGCTTTATAAACTATGGTGTTGAAGTTTTAGGAAAAAAAATGGAAATTAATTAATATTTTCAGAACCGCTTCAGATATTTCACTGATATTTAGTACGTAGTGAAAGTTAATAAAGTTGCATATTTTCAATGCAAAAATAATTTTTTGCTTTAACAGTGGCGTGCGTACGGGTATTGACTTCGATATTGTTTAAGAAAAAAATGGTACGCCAATGGTTTTTTGCCAAATAAAAAGTTTTTTAGAAATCCCCGTTCAATTTAAAACAAATGATATCTCTTGAATTGGGTCATTTTTCAGTAAAAAAATAAAAACCGTTCTATTGTCTAACTTGTAAATTATTAATTTAATTGGAAAATTAAACACAACTGACAACATAAACATAACATTACAACCAATGAAATGATTACAAAAATTGTTGAAAACGGCCCCCTTCACTTAGTATGCACGCTTCCGCCCTCCATTTCATTGAAATAACCCTGGAGTGTTTTTTATTCTATCACAAGCTGCAACTATTCTTTCTCTTAATTCCTTTTACAGTGTTAATGGGACTTGTGTACACTAGTGTCTTAAGATAGCCCCACAAAAAGAAATCTAAACTGTTGAGGTCTCGGGACCTTGGTGGGCATTCTTGGGGCCCACCGCGGCCAATCCAACGATTTGGATAAACAGTAAATAATTACGAACCGCTACACTGAAATGCGCTGGTGCACCATAATGCATGTACCACATATTGTTTCTTATTACTAACGGAACATCATCAAGCAGCAAAGGCAACTGTTGTTGAAGGAAATTGAGGTAAGCCTGTCCGTCAAGTCGTCCCAGCAAGAAGAATGGGCCAATAAAGTGGTTGCCAATAATTCCTGCCCATACGTTAACCGAAAATTGGTGTTGGAAATGGGTTTCGGTTACGGCATAGAGATTTTCTTCTGCCCACAAATGATTATTGTGGAAATTTCGAAAAAAATTAGCTTCGTCCGTGAACAGAATCACTGATTCAAATTTCGGATTTTGTGTGATTTTTTGAAGATACCACTGACAAAAGGTCACACGCATTGGAAAATCAATGGGAAGTAATGCATGTACTCATAAAATATGGAAGGATATAACAAAAAATCCACCAAAATTCTCCAAACTATTTGATGGCAAATATTTAAGTGTCTAGAGATCTTCCTCGTACTCGTTTCAGGATGTTCTTCGACTTCGTGCAGCACTGCTTCCTCAATTTCAGGTGTTCTCACACTTAGAGGTCTATCTTCAAATGTTCCTTTTCGGACAGAACCAGTTTCAACAAGGCGACGATGAATATTAGAAAAGGTTCGATTATCTGGCAAAGCCCGATCGGGATATCTCTTGTGATAAATCCGTCTGGCTTGCGTCGGCAAGGCCATATATGTTATGTAATGCATTTCCGCCATTTCGGCATTTGAATAATTCACCATTATTAACAAGATTGTAAAAACTAAATAATCAAAAAGATGTCACAGCGAACAGATTTGAATAACAGAGACTTGGCAGATGTCAAAAGTCAGTGACATATTCCAGAGCAACTACATATTTATTGCTAAATTGCATTCTCCAATTACTACATTAATTTTCTCGGACAATAGAACGGTTTGTATTTTTTTACTCAAAAAATAGCGCATCGAAGGAAAACAATTCAAGAGAGATCATTTATTTTAAATTGAACGGGGAATTCAAAAACAGTTTTTATTTGGCAAAAAACCATTGGCGTACCATTTTTTCTTAAAAAATATCGAAGTCAATACCAGTACGCACGTTACTGTTAAAGCTAAATATTATGTTTGCATTGAAAAATATGCAAATTTATTAACTTTCACTATGTACTAAATATCAGTGAAATATCTGAAGCGCTTCTGAAAATATTAATTAATTTCCATTTTTTCCTAAAACTTCAACACCCCGAGTTTTTGTAAGGAAACATTTTTGGATTTATAAAGCAACCACCTTGAGCAGGCATGTCTGTCTATTTTCCCCATATATGACTGCCCATATGATAACTTAATAAAGTTCAGAATTACTGAATTGAGAAAACAAAAAACCAAGTCATTATATCCTTTTATTAATTGTATCAATGTTCCTCCTTTTTATTTTTTGCATAAATCACAAAACGACTAACGACTTAGCACTCTTCGAGGGAAATTGCTTCGAAATACGAGTATCTCCAAACGGGGCTGTTTTTCCAAATTTCCAACATTTTCATTAAGCATTTGAAGTAAGATTAATATTGGAAAAATTTGTTTCATGCTTGCAGCAGATAGAAACCCTAGTAGAAAGCCGCGTTTCATGATTGCAATTTTACGAAACTGGATTACACAAAAATGCTTTCCTACGACCTCACTTTCACGTTTCAAGTGTTAATTTAGAATTGAATTTTTTAAATTTGAAGGATTTCCAGGACGACTGAACAAGAGGCCTCGACATTCAGTAAATATTCGAGGATCCACTGCATCAATCTCTCCAAGTTTCTTATTCTTGAAAGTAGCTGAGATTGTTGAACATTGTTGTACCTAGAATAAATGTGCGAGTTGGCTTAGTTTTTCTGAAATCATGTCTATTATGTGCATTTTCAAACAATAATCGAGATCTAGGTGTGACAGAATTTTTATATCAAAAATTTTCACAGTTAGTTTCATTTCTGACGTTTTGCATCATATTAATCAACTTACAACACCAATAAAAAATTATACATTGACAAGCTGTTATGCAACTTGGTCCAATTATCTCTGATATCCTTAATGCAAAAATAGAAGTAATTATAAGAAAACGATAACAATAATTGGTGAAAAATATGCATATATTTGTATTAACAATGTAATAAAAACCCAAACATCATGACAGATAAAAATTTGCTCCACATATTCACATACAGATAATATTTGATGTAGAGTATTTGGAAACAAAAAAAACAGTGCCACCATTTGATAAATACAGATTGGAAAATTTTATTACTGTATTTCGTTCACATCAACAACCTTAAGAGCATAATAGCATAAAATGTATTTGGGGTGATTTATGATTTATTCATGTAGTTAGTGAGTTAATCAACTATTTTTAGAAAGTTGCCTAGGAGTCTTCAGAGCTGTGTCAATATTCCAACCAACAATATTTACTGTATCATATCATAAAACAAAAAAAATCGTTACTTTGGCAGTATACAGGGTGTTTCAGTTTATTGTTGCAAAACTTTAAGATTCGATAGAAGTTTTAAAATGAATGCATAAAGTCTATATAAACATGGGTCGAAAAATGCGTGGCTTCCGAAATACAGGGTGTTTAAATTTACTTTCTAAAATAGTTTTTTTAAATATTTCGAACAATATTTGATGTATAACAGTCAAAATTGGTATACAAGGGTTTTTTGGTACGACAAAACGAACCATGGGCATAGTTTTACTGTAGCCGCTAGAGGGCGCTCTCTACTGTACCTGTAGTGTATTGACCGAAAAAATTTTCTTAGTGCAATTTTTTGCTTTTTGAATAAAAATACTGATTCTTCGCACTTTTCAACATAAAAAAGCTCTCCTGTGAGTTTTCGTTATAGTTAGCCGTTTTTGAGATATTTCGATTTTTAAGGTTCGATGCATTTTTAATTATTTATGATAAAATAACGTTAAAAAGTCAGTATCTCGATAATTTTTAGAAGTAGGCTGTGCCTGAAAATATTTTTGAAATTGAAAGTAGAATAAGGTTAAACGTCAATTAGTTGACAGTTAGTTTTGTTGCCTGTTGAAACCTGAAACGTTTTTTTGCAATTGTGCATGCACGAAATTTAGTTTCTTTTACCTGTTTTTTTTTGTAAGTTTTATAAAAATGCCATTTTTATTCTCCAATCAAGAGTTAGCGGATATTCATTTTGTATATGGCTTTGTAAATGGAAACGCAGCAGAAGCAGCCAGAGAATACGCACGAAGATTTCCAAACAGACGACATCCAACTCGCTCAGTATTTGTATGAGTGCATCGCCAAATAATTTAAAATCGTTTTGGAAATCTCCAAAGGGATCAAAACATAAATGTTCGTCAGCGCAGATTTACCAGTATGATTCTGCGTGAGTTTGATAGAGATCCGACCAGAAGTGTTAGGAGAGTTTCTGGTGCCTTGGGAATTTCAGCAAGACATGTTCACCGTGTTCTTAGAAATGACCATAGACTTCCTTACCATTTGCAACCTGTGCAAGGACTACAGCCAGGGGACGGAGAACGAAGAATCACATTTTGTCAGTGGATTCTTGATAGAACTGATAATAATAGGGAGTTTTTAAGTAACGTTTTATGGACCGATGAGTCATGCTTCACTAGACGTGGGGTGGTAAATTTTCATAATCAACATATTTGGTCGCATGAAAATCCGCATGCAGTTCGGGAAAGAAATTTTCAGCATGAATTTAGTGTGAACGTGTGGATTGGTACCTACGGTAATCGACTATTTGGACCCTACCTTTTGCGTGGAATTTTTAAAGGCTGAACATGCAAATATGTGGGATGATGTTATGTTAGATTTAAGAAGATTGGCCTGGTTCCAGCTTGATGAAATAGAGAATAGAAACTGGCTGGACGAAAATTATCCAGAAAGATGGATCGGCCGTGGAGGACCAGTCGCCTGGCCTCCACGATTCCCTGACCTAAATCCATTAGATTTCTTTGTGTGGGGATTTCTAAAAAAAAAGTGTACCAGACTCCCGTAACCACAAGAGATATGCTAATAGACAGAATCAGGAATGCATGTGATGAAATAAGGCCTTATTTGAATAATGATATACCAAGTTCGATCATTCGTAGATGTGAAATGTGTATTGAACAATTGGGTTTCCATTTCGAGCAACTACTTTAGATTTTGTATGTTTGTCCTAACTATCCAAGAGCATTTTAGTTGTAAATAATTAATTTAATTTGTTAAAAATAATATTGGAAAATTAAATCGAAATATCTCAAAAACGGCTAACGAAAACTCACACGAGAGCTTTTTTATGCAGAAAAGTGCGAAGAATCAGTTTTTTTATTCAAAAAGCAAAAAATTGCACTAAGAAAAATTTTTTCGTCATTTTAATACACTACAGGTACCTACAGTAGAGAGCGCCCTCTTGGGGCTACAGTAAAGCTATGCCCATGGTTCGTTTTGTCGTACCCAAAAAACCTTGTATACCAATTTTCACTGTTATACATCAAAAATTGTACGAAATATTTAAACACCCTGTATTTCGGAAGCCACGCATTTTTCGACCCATGTTTATATAGACTTTATGCATTAATTTTAAAAGTTCTATCGAATCTTAAAGTTATGCAACAATAAACTGAAACACCCTGTATTGCTAATAAATAATTTCATCTTGATGTTGGGAAAAATTGATGAAAGTTAGTCTAATCAGAATCATTTATGAGTTTAGCAGGTTTTTCAACATCTTTATAGGATATCTGAACCACCACACTGCATGATGACCTCTTGTTCTAATTTTCCTTAATATGGGTTGGTTGCCATTCAATTATTATTGCTATACTTTTTAAAAATAATTTTGGTACAATCTCTGTGTATAGTTATATTATGTTAAAAAAGTGACTAGTTATTTATATATCTATTTTTATAGAGCCTGTCATGTTGCGACACATATTTGACCTTTAAAACCTACTTTCATAGATTGCTGTCAGGCTGCCAAACTATGGGAATCCTACTTAATGGAATGTAATGTTTATTAGCCAATTTGAAATGTACAATTGATTCCTTTTTACATTCTTGCCTGATTTTGTAGTCCTTTCAATGAGGAATTCTGAAAACTGTATATGCCCACACATTGCAGACCATAGTGTCAAGATATAACATAATGCTGCAAGCTGCAATATGTTCATGACGGCTGGGCTATAATTGCCATAGATATAGCCAAATATTGCAATAAAAACATTGGCCATAAGGAGGCTCCATTAGGATAATCCCTGGAACTTTTGTCCATTTCTGAATTAGGAATAAGAAGGAACAAGTATACAATTTGTTTGTTATAGTTAGTAGTCAGGATGCAGGCTTAAGCCACCAATTTGACAGTTGTTGACATTTCATATTAAATAGAATGTAAAAGTGTGTGGCTTCCATACAATCCTAGTGTTCTAGACAGCTGCTGCTGTGGATTGCAAACTAAATAAGAGAAAATCTTTTTGTTGACACGTGTTACATATTATAATCATAATTACAAAAGTTCATATACCTCAACATGCGGCAATTTGAGGGAATTTTGATGTATTTCATTTCACATCTTCTTTTACTGTCACAGGTCACAGTCCCTATCTAAGGTTTGTTAGCAGAATTCCTGTACCATTAATAAATATTTGCTTTCATTTCTTTGCCTTATTTAATTTGTCACTGTTAATTAACAATAACTGAGGGATTCACAATGAAACATGGACAGTATTTCTGTCTTGCTCTATGTAAGTCCACCCAGCATGAATATCTACTTGAATATCCTTTTCAGAGAAAAGAATGTGTACTGATATATTGGTTTGTTTCTTTGGTAGGCAACAAAAGTATGCACAAAAGCTACGCAATTTTAGCGAGAAACAATGCAATGTAAACATATAGGCTAATATATTGGAATTGGTGTATCCTGACAAATGACGAATAGATGTATTTTTGGATAAGTTTAAACAGCACAGTAGTCTAAAACAAGCTCTTGTTCTGTCCGAATAGAAATCACTTAACTCTCACACTACATAGAGAAAACAGGCAAAAGCAATCCATAACATTAGTGTAAAATATAACCTTTATAATAAGACATTGGACTGAGCAGATTGCCTAGATGCTTCCAAGCAGGAAATCAGAGAAAAGCAAGAAACTATGTGGAATACTCAGAGAAAGGTGAATGTTCCGAAATATGACTGCTGTCATCCTAGAAAGGTGCGACTGCATGAAAGTATGGAATGTTCTGTTCATACAACTTCGCGCTTTTAAAATAGGTCGGTATCGCTAAAAATAAGCAAATCTGTGAACGTTTCCAAATATAAGCAATTTATCAGGCGTAATAAAAACAATTTATACGGCACTTTTTTACGTGCTAAATTAACCAGTGACTCCGATATTTTGTACGTAAGCAAATTACTGTTGAAGCGGCATACTTCGAGACGTGCTAAATATTCAGTTGAAGCAGAAGAAAGTTGAATTAGCTTTAAATCAGCAACATATGAAAATTATGAACCACTTAAACCAGTTTTGAAAGTATCTTATTTGAATCAAGGAGGAAATGCCGGCCATGCACAAAATTTGGAATGTCCGTTTGAATATGTAGCAGAAATTACGTACTTACGTTTGGATATTCAAAATATTTGCCACAAAAAGCTAATGTATAGCTTCAGCAAGGTGTTCCTCACACTAAATAGCGAAACGTCTGTTATAACACCACTAAATTTCAAACAAATATTGAACTTAATTTCCACGTGCTCAAAATATTGTCTATAAACTTCACAATCTTCACATCATGGCGTCGCTCAGCCGATAAAAGTCTATCGGCGGTCTGCGCACGATGACAACTGCGCCATCTAGCGAATCTTAATTTATAATTTATCTGTCGTTCTCGTTCTAACACTGTTGTCAGCTGCTCTTTGATGACGATATAGGCTTGGAATTTTGTCAGAGTTCCAGGTCGACGCTTTATCGTTTATTCAATCAAGCATTTTCGAGGGATTTATTTCACGGTTTTTGACGGGTCACACTAAAACTATCGTCATCACTTCTATCATTGACTGGAGGATTCAACCAAGTGGAATACGTTAATCAATGAATTTATACATCTATTTTCCCCACACATACAGCATACAGATATGCAATCTGCCCATGTAGAGCGGAAGTTTGGTTGAGTAAGCTCAAGCGTTTTTAAACTTTCGTCTCGCTACCCGAGGTGCTTTCCAGTGCCTCGGAGTAACACGGAGCTACCTACCACCTGACGCGACATAATTTTTCGCGCATTTGAACGTGGGCAGCTATAGGATCTCGGCTTGATGTATATTTGAGGAATAATGATCATTATAAATACTGCGAGATAAGCTTGGATTTTGTTCTGCCTATAAAATAAGAGACTAAAGCCGATGCTGCGCTAGCGACTCGCGTGGAAGTATACGTCACTCGTTTTGCATTAGTGTACGGAGATTGGGAGATTGGTTTCGGAGAACGAAATTCAAGATTCAAAGCAGTGCAATAGTTATTTTAGCAATGAACATAATAATAAATGAATTTTAATGTTTCGCTTTTTATAGCCTCGACAAAAAGTAAGGAATCTATTTGAAGGTCGTGGACAAGTTAAAACTGTCCGCAATTTGCATTTCAGGAATTAAAAACAGTTGTTTCCCGTTAAAAACGCGTTTGATCTTGAATTGACCTTGGCGGTCATAGTCTGTAACTTTCCTCGGGTCTCAATTTGAAATAACTCAGGGGGCCTAGCTGGAGCATTGTTAGGGGGCGCCTGGATAAGCTATAAGGCCCCTGGAACCGGGGTAGCTACTCCGATTAATGTATGTCGAAACCCTAGAGAAAAACTGTGTAGCTCTGGCAACATGGCATTACTACCGTGTAATCATTATTCATCTCACTACTAGATGGCAGTGCAAATTCTGTTCATTTAGTGCTGATATCTACCGGTTAGTAAATGAATTAATTCATCCAACATCTCATCGCAACCTGTAATCGCCATTGTCGATCTGTAATTTCTAACGAAATTAAATCGTTAACTGGGTTAGTTAGAATTTTCACCCATAGATGGGACAGCATATCCCTAGATGTTGACGGTTGCGGGATGTTGAAATTTGAAATTGAAGGGTGATTGAAAGAGAGACGTTTAGTCCAGAGGCTATTATACTCGTACATCGTTGGAAGCGGAATTAAATAATCCGCTGTCTAAAACTCATCCTGTCGTTGTCTCGCTAATGAATATCCATGTTTCATTAGCCGTCGAATAAAAGCTCAAATGTAGTACATATTAACTTTTCGGTCGTTTTGACAAAATACCTATTTTACATACCTAGACCAAGTTTTAATATGGGACCTACCAGCCTACTCGCAGATATAAAAAATAAAGTTGATCCTTGGCGAGCAATTATGAAATGACCGATTGAAATTCTAATTTTAGTACCTTCAAGAGAGAAAAGTTGCAATCTTGAAAGGAAATTTTCTTTGTAGCTTTATCTAGAATGAATAAGTCAAGAGAAAATAAATACGGTTTTGCCAAAAATACAGTTTTTCGTGTTTCCCCGAAAATACGTGAATTCTAAGGTAAGGTTTCTAAATGCCACCATTTTCCAGATCTCGTACCAATATCTTACGTTTTCCGAGATTCCAGTGAAAGAGTTGAAGTTGAACTCCCGGTACAATATACGTATAATATACCGGGAGTTCAACTTATTATATTATGCTCCTCTTTTGTTCTCATTTGATTGGACTATAGTCTCAGGACTTCTGCTGCAACAGGCCCGCCATCTTTGCATATCAGATCATTTGTTTTATGCAGTCTTCCGTTTCTGTTGTTTTCAAAAGTTTTGTTCTATGGGAGTGGCTATAAGTCTTCACATTTTATGTATTCTTCCGGGACCGTAAAATTTTGTTGATTTTATACAGGAAACTCGTGATCGAATGGATAGAATGTATCGGTAATAGTCCGAGAGTTAGTTTTACGTTTGGAACGGTCGATGGCGTATCAAATTAGTGTTAATGCTGCTAATACTAAAGAACTTTTCGGACGATATGCAGTATCTCTATGATATGGCCTCAATAATTGGTAAGTTTACATATGCATGAGAGATGAGAAATATTAGCCTGTCGAAATTAAAGGGAGCATTTACTACATTTTCATAACTCTCCTCTCATAGACAGTTGCCAATAGGATGATTGTAACATGTGTAATATATCAAGCACCCCACGCTTTTTACTCTGAATCGAATTATTCTGTTATTAACTTATTAAATTTTATAATGATTTCATTTTGAGGTTATCAATTATGATTGATTGTTCGACCATCTACTACTGTAATATAAATCAAATCCAAGCGAATAACCAAAATTTCTGTGTTATGTGCCGCGGTTATAATATGGTTCAAGATGACACACGGGTTGATGACTTCAGTTACACGAATCGCTTGAACGCGTTGGTTTTAACCGCGGTTTTGTTGCAAGTTGTTTATTTTAGAAAAGCGCGTATATGATCTCTGATTATTTTTATTATCATTTAATAATCGGTGCTTTTTCGTCTACAACTGTATATGGAAAGTTTAAATAAGAAACCTTTCATAATATTCATGGGAGAAATGTTTTTTTCAGAGTTTTTTTTAATGATGGAACCATGGCTTTGTAGCTATGATAACTTTCAATTCTCTAAATTTTTCCGCATGACAAAGAAAACATTTATTGATTCAGCAGAAATGATGAAAAAAGAAATTAGCAAAACCGTATACAGGTGGATATCATCTAGTGAGTTTATATGGACATATTTTAATATTCTTGTGGTATATGGCTACACAGGATACTTTGTTAAGCATAGGAACTACATTTAAAGTGTCCCCAACAACCGTAATTAGTATAACTAATAAGGTTTTCTTATTCGGTAAATTGCGTACTTATTGCTATAAGCTTTGTTATACCTGTATTTTAAAGGTAATAAACCAAATTTTGAATTTGGTGCCGTTCAAGTATTACGTAAGAAGATTTATTACAATTATTTACCCCCCCATCCCCCTTGTCATCAAAAGTAAGCAAAGCTCTCACCCCCTCCCCCCATGCTTACGTAAACATTTGTCAATTAATGTTTTGTTTTTTAATATTATAATTATAACGTTATAACTATAATTTGAAAAATAAGAAAATAGATTTAGGATAGAGATTATATTTTACTGATACGGTATTCAACATAGAGTAAAGGACAAAAATATTATATCTTACTAACATAACAAACTTATTTTAAATTTTTGGTACATATATTAAATTCAAATTAACAGTCTTCAGTCCATGAAACCCGAATCCATGATTCTAAGTTTTCGATGACATTGGATTGCTCGATTGCTGCTCGGTGTTGTGAGTTTGCTCGCTTTCATCGGTTTTTGGAATGTCTACGTTGTTCTCATCGAGCCATTCAACATCATGGTGCTCTAAATTTTGAATAATGCACATCAGGTCATTAGCACGACGAGCAGCGACACTTACAGGTCTAACTTTCCTATCAGTCTGCGAGTTTACTTTTTTATGGATATTTTCGATGTGACGATTTAGTGTCTTGACGGAAGCATGATAAAGACCACACGTTTTGCATGTTCCATTTGATGGCCTCAATTTTACCGTCGGACAAAAATAATCGTAGGGCATTTACAGGAAATCTTTGAGTGAAGCACTTAAGCGTAGAGCTAAATTGACTGGAATGATTAAGAAATTGCCCTCCTTCATCCAAAACCAAGTCATCAACTGTTTGTTTTACTTTTACAGGTGGTGGAAGAAACCTAGTAATCTAAGTAGACCCCTTCTTGGACGACAGCATTCTGTATTTCTTCATTTTACAATTTGAAGCAAGTATTGGCTCTCACGCACATGTTCTGAATACCATTTAATGTCTGGAAAATCAGGAAGATCTTATTCACCTGCCCCAACATATTTTGTATTAACATTATAGCCATCAATTTCCATTGAACTCCATACTTCAGCTAATACATTTCCTGCAAATTCGAAATTAGATCTTTCTAAATGTTCATCAATTGTAACGCCACGTTCATCCAAATGAGACCCAAAATGGTCATGGCAATATTAAACCAGCCAGTTCCCCATGGCAATATTAAACCAGCCAGTTCCCGACTAAGAGGAGCCATTCTGCGCTCTACTCTGTTATACGCACTTCATCCAGGAGCATTGGTAGCTAAAAACAATGCATCGAAATCATGTCGCTTAAAGTGTTGTATAGCAAACCCTATGACATCAACCGTCATGATTACCACTGGTTTTACTAGTCTATGGTCAGTTTTAGCTAATGGTCGAAACTCTTCAAATTCGAGAAGCGTCTCGAAATCCTGAGCATGAGTATTAGCAGTAGATGAACTATGCTTTCCACTTCGAATAGCGATGTATGTTGGTCCAGAATATCCACCGGCTTGCGGTTGTTCTAGCATATTGGAAGTGATTTTGATAGCAGCATAAACAGATGGTATTAATTTATGACGCTCAGCGATTACCCAATCGTGATCAGGCAATTTGATTCTATATTCCATGTGCATTAGGAGAGGTGCTTGCTTATTTGCCGCAGTTACGCCAATTGGGTCTCGAGCTTTATCATCTTGAGATATGAAAAATACTTGATTTGGTCCAAGTATGGATGCTATGTTCTCTAAATAATGGATTGATGATACATGATACATGTCTCCGTCCCTCTGCAGAATTAGATTTTCTGTGAATCAAACGACGATATGTCCCACTGCGACTAATGTCAAATCCTACTTTACGTAATTCTTGTGTGAG